CTGATAGATAAATTATTAATTGGCAGAACCTGCTCTATTTCTTGTTTCAAAAGAGGCTTTTTAACCCTGGTTTTTAATTTCATTCCAACTTCCAACTGTTGCAGCCATTTCTATCTGGCCATTTTGAAATGGGATTTTTCTTGGCTTTAAATTGAAAATTGGAATAAGTTTATCGACTTGGCAGAAAGTCAGGCATTACCTCTCAAGTTTCAAATTTAAAACCATTATTTGCAAATTGATGTTATTAATTAAAAGGAATAAAGGACGCACTACTGTAGTAATGAAGTCAAAACATTAAAAAATAAAAAGACCTCTAGTGCACTCAGATTAAATAATTCATTATTTTAACATATTCAGGTTGTATCAGGCGAAAACTAAATTTGGCTATCCTCATTTTCAAATATAAAAATAAGAGAAATGCATATATGCATTGATTCTTGTATGAAAAAAACCCTCACCTTTTCCCCATTCTGTAGTTAAGTAATTTGAAGCAAAATCAAAAAAGATAGTAAAAAAATTAAAGTACTCTCAAGAAGCTGCACTCTTTTTAAAAAGCCACTGATCTTTCTCAAATGGCAGCCATTTGTCTGGATTCCTTTAAAGAGCTGTTCTTACAGTGCAGCCTCAGAGGTGCAGCAAAATCTTTCTTCTCTTGGTTGCTATGCACCGCAGTATTTAATCTACAGGATTAATGAACTGCTTACATCCATTCACTGAGGGAGGATTTTTATGAAATGGTCCAGTAGGCAGACCTTCTGTGCAAAGAGCTGCTGTGCACAGAACGCTGTTAGCAGCAGGAATACAGGACTGATTACGCAGCTCTGTGCTCCCTGTTCCCCTCTGAGACCTGAAATCAGAGCAAGCCGGGCAAGGAAAAGAGAGACACTATGCAGCACTGCAAGCAACACAAACTAAGGAGATTTCTCATCATAGAGCTTGAATCTTGCATTCTTAAAAATACAGCACCCAAAATGTTCTCAACAGCCTTATTTAAAATGCAAGCAGCAATATATATTTTAAACAGAATTTTAAAATAATAAAGTAATTCCACCACAAACCAGATTTTTAATCCAGAAGGGTTGCGAGTGGTTTCAGGCATTTAAAAAAAAATAACTAGAGAAATAATACATAATATTAAAATACACTATGCACTATTATTAACAACTATTTACACTGCAAAACTTTTATACAGGCATACCTCTTTTTACTGTGCCTTGCTTTATTGTGCTTTGCAAATATTGTGTTTATCAAACAGCATTGCATGCTACAGAGAAATCTTTCGTGAAAGGAAGAGTCAATCGATGTGGCAAACTTCACTGTTGTCTTAAGAAATTTTTAAATTAAGGCATGTGCATTGTTTTTTCAGACATAATGCTACTGCACATTTAATAAATTACAGTATAGTGTAAACATAACTTTTATATGCACTGGGAAACCAAACAAATTTGTGTGACTCGCTTTATTGCGATATTCGCTTTATTGCGGTGGTCTGGAACCAAACCCACAATATCTCCGAGGTATGCCTGTATTTAACAATTGGGTAGCAATTACTTTTATGATGAGAGGCCAATGTTCTAAGCAGGTTAAAATGAAAAGAAGACGTAACTCTAATTTCATTAATCAAACATTCAAAACTACAGCACAGAAATCAGAAGAATCTATAAGATAATGATTCAGATGGGAGTCATTTTCCTGAATGAAAGGATTCCTCCTACTCAGAGTTACTGTATACTGCCTGTGGGGCAATGCCATTCAGGAATAGTGCAGGAATAAGTAGTTAAGGCATGCCAAACACAATCTGAATTTTTGCTCACATACATGAACACAGTTGCTACTAACAGTTTTAAAACAATAGGGAAGCTATAACTAACTCGCATTGGAGAGGAGAGCTGCAATTTGTCAAAAATTACTTATTCTAATAAACTATTGATCTATCTTGGACTCTAGGTTTGTCAGAGCTATAACATCCTCCAAAGACAATGTGCTTTGATGCTCACAGATAATATTAAATAGATC